GGTGCTCCTCACTATTTTCCTGACAGGGATATCAAGATCCACCCTTCCTCCCCATGGAATTTCAATATACTATCTCAGAATTTTGCTCAAATCAAACCTCAGTATTCCTGTGATAGTGTCAGTGCAGACCAGAGCTGAGCCACAGAGGAAAAAATAGAATTATTTTTGCCCCTTGCACACCTTTTGGCTTACCATGGAGCTAACCATTGTCTTGCTTTTCCACTTGCTTAGTTTCCTTCTTATATTCTGACTAACCTGGACATCTCTATGCCAGTCACCTGCATGTTTCCTGATCTCTTCTGTGGGACAGTAGACAAACATGAGAAATGTATGTGGCACACAGGTTGGGGAAGGTGGCTACGTGTCACCAGAAGCAGCAGCCCAGGGACCAAGGGACAAGCATCTACAGCAACCTACACCTGGCCCTCACCTCTGGAGGAGTCATCTCCTCTCTAGGCCTCTGAAGCATCATGTACTGACCATCTTCGTTCTCTGAGAAAGTCTTCGCGTCTCAGGTCAGTTCTGGCTATGCTGTTTGGGATCTCCCTCCTCTTTCCTAGAATTCACACCCACTTTCTTTGGCTTAGTACTTCTTCGTTTTGCTACAGTGCATCCTCAAATAACATCCTAAGAAAGGAAATGTGGGAAAACGTAACTATGTGTTTGTGTGAACATAATCATTCACCGTTAAGGGGACCCATAGGGCTGAAGCTGAAAATCACTTTCCATTAGAAATATGAAGGTATTGCTCAGGCCCTATAGCTCCATGCTGCTGCTGTGAAGTACTGAGCAGGTCTGGCTGCTAGTATTTTGTTAAATGTCATATTGTTTTCCTATTTGGAAGTTCCTGAGTCTTTTCTGTCTCCAAGTTCCATGATGGTGTACATGAGAAGACCTGCTCTCATACATGCAAAGCACCTCTGAGCATCCTCCACCACACCAAGTCAGCCTCTTCCACTTAGAAACTTTACCTGAACACCTCATGCATGGACTCCTGACTCCCTGTTTTCTCCTTGGAAGGTCTGGGGATCAGCCATTATATTTTCTTCCCATTTCCCCCCTTTCCATTTTACAGTTCTTTTGTTCTTGCAGATAAATTTTCTCAATTGTAACTCATAAATCATTTACTAAGATTTTCGTGTAACTCTCGATGTTCTTAACTCCCCGGAGCTCACTTTCTTCTCCCTGGATTCCCTGTGGTGCCTTGTTCTCATGGTTACTGAAGAGCCCTTTCTTCCCTTGGTGGGATCTAGGCTACAGCTGTGTGCAGCAGTTTTGGCTCTGCTGGTCAGCTCCCTCTGGAACCCACTTCTCTACTTGCTCATTTGGCTGTTTCACAGTCAAGGTCTTTTCTTCTTGCAGAAAGTCTCTTCTTCTGAGACTCACAGGTTATTCATTCATCATCACGAGGGATGGGTAGTATAGGACCCACAGGGACCTCGGGGTAGCAGAACTGGCAACCTGTGGCTGTACCATGTAGAAGGGCTGAGCTGTTTATCTGGGAGCTGCTGGCCTGCTCAGCTCCTCCCAGGGTCTTTCCCCCTTTACCTGCTGCAGAGTCACCTAGGGCCCATCTGCATCCAGCCACCCCATGACATACTCCATCTCTGGTCTGGGCCTCTGCTCAGCTTCTCCAGGGCACAGAATCTGACTCACTTAGTCAGTCGTGGTTTGAGGATCTATGTTTCTCAAGTTCAAGGCAGAAGGACTTCCCCCATCTGCAGCCATACTTTGGAAACTAGTACTCCAACACAGTGAATAGCAGGGCTTAGTTTTTTTTTTTTTTCTCTTCCCAAGGGAGTGGTATCTGCCAGTGTACCATTGGGAGACCTGTTGTGAACTCTCCCCCAAGTACTCTAAGCCTGACACTCTCTCCAGAGCTGTCTGTCATCCATCTACTGTTCCTTTGGGCCCTCTGAGGACCAGGAGTGGTAAACTAGTCCTTGCTACATACATGACTTAGATTGTTCTTTCTTTCTTGAGTGTAAGTGGCCATTAGCCACTTGGTCCCCTAGTTTCCAAGATGAAAAGCTGCATATTCTCTCCTTCTCCAAGTTTTAGGGGGCAGAGAGTTGGAGTGTAGCACACAAGTTCAGCTGGTCCCAGGGCTCAGATGATGGCCCTGTTTCTCAGCCTCCTTCCCATCCTCATCTCTGCCTAAGCCTGCCACAGGCCTCCACTGGCCTGGGCCTCAGCTGCCCTCCTTCTGACTTACAGTCAACCATGAACCTGGCTGAGTCTCTAAGGAACTATTTAGGGACTTCTCAATGACCCCATGTGACATGGAGCCCCATTTTCTCAAGCCCTTCCCACAATACTGGGTGCCAACATGAGTAGAGGACCAGTGACACAGCCTAGCAAATCTTACTGCATAAGAAAGAAAGCGAGCCTGCTATATAATGATGGTGAGGCCTCACCTCAAAATGTTTACGTAAGTAAAGATCCACCTAGAATGGTATGTGTTTGCATTTGAAGCTCTTACACCTGGCAGACACACACACACACACACACACACACACACACACACACACACACACACACACACACACACACACACACACACACACACACACACACACACACACACACACACACACACGGTAGGAGGGACACCAAAGCTTGAAGACAGGGATTGGATCTTTATGACCAAGGCCAAGACAAGCAGCTCTGGGGTGTGGATGGAGGGTGGTGAAAAGTTGCCTAACACTGCCTATAGCTTACAGATGACCTCAGGAGAGCTGTGCCATTTCTGTTTTCCACCTGGGCCAGCCATAACACCCTCCTTCCCCTCTTCACAGCACTCCTCAAGCTGGCTGGCAGGGTGGGATGGCCTGGCAAGTAACCAGGCTGGGGGAACTCTATGGGGAAAACTGATAGGCTGGTGATCGGGCAGGTGCAGGTACATCTGCTACAGTGGTCTCCCTGTGTAGCTGGTGCCCTGGGACCTGGAGCCACTGGTGCTGAAGGAAGTGAGAGGTGTCAAGCTGGCTGGCAGGGTGGGATGGCCTGGCAAGTAACCAGGCTGGGGGAACAACTGATTGGCTGGTGATCGGGCAGATGCAGGTGCATCTGCTACAGTGGTCTCCCTGTGTAGCTGGTGCCCTGGGACCTGGAGCCACTGGTGCTGAAGGAAGTGAGAGGTGTGAGTGGGGAGAGGTAAGGAGTGTGAGGGCTGTAGCAGTGAGGAACAGAATGCAGCACCTAGAGACTGTCATCCTTTCCACTGTTCTGGTGGCAGAGAGGTAGCCTGGGCACGTTTCTAATGTGTCTGCATGCTCTGATCTACAGAATATGGGAGAGGACTTAAGGGTCAAGTATAAGTTCCTGCAGAGAAGCAAAACAAATTCTGAAAGCTGGGATAGAGGCGGGTAAGGTGTGAGGGGAGGTGTGCACTGTGCTCACTGCTCACAGGCAAGACACACAGTATGTAAGGCCAATAAACCTCAGATGTGAAAGGCCCAGCATCCCACTGCTGCTGGCACTGCCTGGTGCTTGGCTGAACTCCAAGGAGATTCAGGAACTCTCCCCCTGCCACCACCAGTTTTACAAGGACACAGGCACAGATTAGAAACTTGCACAGTAAGACTGTTGGGGCTCCAGGGACCACAGAATGCTGGCAAACAAGACTAAAGACAATAACAACACACAGCACGAACAGTTATGGAGTACCTACTGTGGGCCAGGCTCTGCAAAGGGACCTGAGACATTATAGCCTAAAATCTGACTGCTGAGGCACAGAAGATGCAGGAAACGGCGATATATGACTCAAGGGAATACATGGATGCCTCTCCAGCTTGGTCCTGGCTGCTCCTCGGCACCAGGCCCTGCTGAGTAGTGAGTGTCCCTCAGCTGTGAAGACACTGCCTTCAGGTGGGAGCAGCAGGAGGAAGATGACAGAGGAGTGACAATGACAGAACAATCTGCCCTCCACCCCCACCCCACACACCAGTCTGGGCTATGTGTCTCAGGCAGGGACCAAGATAACAACACCACCCCAGCTCAAAGATTCCCAAAGGAAGTGCTGAGTACCTTCACAGAAGACAAATATGCGACAAGGAAATAGGAAAGCGTATTACAGGATGAAAAGCAACTCACAAACACATGTGACATCAAATATCAGGAAAACAGCCTATAGTTCGTGCCTCAGCATTGCACTCTGGCAATATCCCCTAGATTGAGGCAAAAACAGTAGTCTCCAGGTGCTAGAACCTGGTGCTGACAGGATTGCGTTCCAGGCCACTGAGGAAGAGCCTGGCCAGGGGCCTTCCTCTCAGGTCACCCCATGGCCCTGAATGGAGCAGGACCAGGCACTGTCCATTGTGGAGAGCATGGCAGGTGCCTCAAGCCCCTCAGCCTTCCTGGGGCCTTGCCTGTGTGAAGACTGAGCTGATACTCCTCTCCTTTGCACAGATGACCTGCATTTCTCTGTGCTGTAGAGTGACACGGCCAGGGCAGGACCTGGTGACTGCAACACTCTCCAAAGCTTGGCATGACAGACTCCAGCCACCACTCTATTGCATTGGAAGTGACAGATGCACGTTCCAAGGATTGTTACCCTGATTTACAGACTGGAGAGGGCAGCGAGAGGCACTGGCTCTGTGCTGGTCTCGTTCTTCCTTGGCGTCACAGGCCTGATGCAAAGGCCCCCGGGGCTCTGTGAAGTGTGCTCAGACCAGTGAAAGATGACTCTGCTTTCTGGGAGGATTGGATTTACTCTTGATTAATGGGGCACATACAAACTGATAAATGGTATTAATTTGCTTTAGGGGGCCTGAGAAGATCTTAGCCACTTGCTGCTGCACTGCTGTTTGACTTGTGTCTGCCGCCTACAGCATGGATGACTAACCCTGTTTGCACATCTCCTGGGGAAGAGGCTGTGTTTCTGCAGGACACCAAACCAATAGCCTCTGTCTAGCCACACATGTGGCCAACCTGCATGTGTGACTGATGTTCAGAAGGGCTTGCCCACTGGATGTCAGGGGCTGGGTGGAGAAACCTACCTGTCACCTCCTTGGATGAGGGTAGGCCAGCGACAGACTCTAGATCCGTGGGGACAGGGCCTCCTCTCTCCAGGGCAAGTAAGAGCCCCTGCAGCCGCTCACACTCCTCTTGCAGCCGGTCCCTGTCCTCACGCAGGCGCTGCTTGGCCATGCTGGTGGGGTTCAGGCTCATGTGTAGCACTTTGGTTCTGCTCTGGTCATAGTCGCCCTGGGGGAGAAAGCACAGAATAGGGGTTACCTTGGGCTGGACCAGATCCATGAGGCTTTAGGAATTGAGAGAAGTGAGACGTTCACCAACAGAAAAGTTTTGGTAGCAAAGTAGGAGCTTTGTGTTGAATACGATGCACACTGCATGGCGTGGGGAGCTACATTAGCCCAAACCCCAAGGTCTTCATGATGCTTGCTGTGTGGCCAGGAGGATCCCTCCATCAGCCTTGGTTCTGATCTATTACCAATCAGGGGTCACATTGTTATTCAGTTTGAAGAGTCACTGATTGGTAAAAGAAAACCAACCAACCAACTGGCTCATCTGTTGGGCACTTCGTATGTGGAAATCCATCCATTGGTCTTGAACACCAATCCTAAGACCAAAACCATGATGCAAATGTGTGAGTGCCTGGGCTCACTAAAAAAGTGAGGAGAGAAAGAGAGAAGTGAAAGGGGAGAGGGGGGGAGATGGGAGATGAGAGAGAGGGGAGAGAGAGACAAACAGGATTGATCTTCACAGTAGATCTACAGCCACTAACATTGTGTGGTAGCAGAGAAAGAGTCTACCAGAACCCTTGTGACTTTGACCTTTTGCCATACACAGACAGCAGCCTCAGGGGGTGACAGATCTAAGTATAAAAGATTGAACCTTTAAGAACATAGAAGAATGGGCACAATGGCTCATCCTTAGAAGAGAGAAATCAGGAGGATTGTGGTCCCAGGCAAGCCTGAAAAAAAGAAAAGAAAAGAAAAGAAAAAAGAATGTGAAACGCTATCTGAAAAATAACCTAAAGGAAGAAAAGGCTGGAATGTAATTCAAGAGGTACAGTGCTTGCTTAGCAATTACATGTTTTGAGTTCAAAATTACCAGAAAAAAACTTCCAACACATTAAATAGTATCTTTGTGACCATGGAGGAGGCAACGCCTTCTTACACATAATTGAAGAAGTGGTCAGAGTCCCTGCCTGCACATCTTCCAGCCTCCTAAGGGAGCAGAGAGAGCATCTACTGTTCACAGCACCCCATGCTCTGGGAAAAGAGGATGGGTAGACACGCTGCTTAGTGAGGTAGCCCTGTGCTTCAGGACTCAAGCTACTGTTAGCCGCTGTGCCTACATCTCTAAAGGATAGTGCCACCTAGCCCAGGCTGTGCCACCTGAAGCACTTCACTGGGGGCCCGAGCCTGTCAGTTCCTGGCCAGTCATCCAGAGCCCCCAGGAAGTGGGTTCACAGATGAGGTAGAATAGGCAAGACTCAGCAGAGCCTCGCTGGGCATCATGTCGGGAATTAAAGCATCCTCATGTTTTCACAGCAAACTGCTACCCTCCAAGTCCCCTAATGAAAGAGTCAAATGGGGTCCAAGACCCACAGGCTCTCCAGCAATTGCACAACCACTGCAAGAGAAACTGGGTGTGCAAACATGGTTCCCGAGGCCACCTCCGGGGCTCTTTTCCAGGGCAGGGGAGGAAGGGAGAGGCCACCCAGCAGTGCTAAGGAGGAGGAGGGAGCCACAGCAGGGCCAGGGTGAGGGAGGCAGGGCAGGAGAGGATTTGCCTGGATCTTCACTCTTCACGGGTTTTCTGAGAACCTTGTAAACCCCGAAGGATGAAGAGACTCCTGGAACCCCTGCTGCTTCACAGGCTGTCAGGGCTGAAAGGGATTGTTATTTCATCCAATTTTAACAGTCTGGGAAGATAACCAAGTGTGTGAAATCCATCGCCCATGCCTGCCTCAGGAGAGACTTCTGATGGCAGATGCTGGCTCTTGTCTTCCGGGTCCTGGGCCTTAGCCTTCCTCACCCTTGATTGGAGTTGGAGCAGCTAGGTCAATGTTACCTGTGGCTCAATGGCAGACTTGGGTTCTCTCACCTCTTGTCTGTCCCAATTACCCACCGCTTGGCTGTGGTGATCCAACAGCCAGAAACAGGAATGTGTACGCATATGTGTACCCATGTGCCAATAAAGTAGCACCAGAACTTCATGGAGCTTTCATGTGTCCCAGAACATGCTCTTATATTCTTTTTTTAATAATATTTTTTATTGTAAAAATACTATACAGAGGGGTTACAGTTACATGAGCAAGGTAATGATTACATTTCCTATCAAGCATTGTTACTTCATCCTTTGTTTTTCCCCTACCATCCCTTCCCTCCCACCTCCACAACTACACTCCCCTCCCCCACTTGCTTACAATTGTTAAACATATTAAAGCCTGATACTGGTGGTCACTCTTGTAACCCTAGTTACTTGGGTCAAGGATCAGAGGATTGCAGTTCAAAGCTAGGTGAGTCAGAAAGGTAAAGTTCCTGAGACCCTGTCACAACCACCAAAATGCCAAAAGTGGAGCTGGTAAGCACCATTCTTGAGCAAAAAAAGCTAAGGGACAGCACACAGGCACTGCAATCATGTCCTAATACCAGCACCAAAAAGCACTGTTTCTGGTGTCTGCACTTTCCAGGTTAGCAAGCCAATCTTTTGGGCCCTCTGCTGGAAACAAGGGCAGTGAGACCCGGCACACACTCTTCCCTGACTCTGAGACTCCTGTCTCCAGGGCAGAGCAGTAGCTCTCCAATGCCTGAGAACCATGGATTCTGGCCTTGTGGGAATCTCCGGCCATCTCCATCCTTCTTCCCAGGAACTCAACACTGTTGCCCATCTGGGAAGAGCCCTGTGCATGAACAAGGCTCAGAGACACAGGGACTGTCCTGAGGACACCAGCATGGCTAGGACAGGGTTGTACCTCCGAGGAGCACCCTGCTACCAGTCAGGTAGGTATGTCCAGCAATCCATGAAAGCTAGCATCTTCCTCAGCAGTGGCCATGGTTATCCAGGCCCTTGGACAACCAGTGTAATACTGATGTGGAAATGCCCCGCACTCTGTGAAAGGAACAGGAGTCATCAAGCCTGGTGACAATTCTGTCACCAAGGCAACATATCACTCCACCTGACCCCCCATCTCTTCTCTTTAAGAGCTCTTGCTCCTAAGGTATATATGTGTGATAGTACTGGGGTTCTGAACTCATGACTTTGTGTTGGTTAGACAACTTCTCTACCATTTGAGCTGGGCCTCCAGTCCTTTTGCTTTAGTTATTTTTCAGATAGAGTATTGCATTTTTGCCTGTAGTGATCTCAGACCACATTCCTTCTATTTACGCCTCTGGCATAATTGGGATTACATGCATGTACCAGTATGCTTTGCCCTTAAACCATTATTTTACTTGTCCTCTGTCAGATCAGGTCTATGAAGTCAGGGCTGCCTGTCTTTTTCCCTACTTGTCAGCTCTGAGATTTGTGCCTGGCATGAGTGTTAAACATGTATTGAAAGGATGGATGATAATCACAGCATTTACCAGAAGGCATTCCTGTGAGCTTAGAAATCAGACTTCCAACTGGTTAACATAGGTGTGAAGTAAAAACCAGCAGGTATGCAGAAAGGACTAGCCTCACTCCAGATGACTCCAATAGGCCCTCAGGAGCTTTTCCTGCTCACTGGTTCACTCTGAGCTCTGCCCCAATCATAGTGGGGCACTCAAGAGTAGGGTACAGGAACCCTGCCGTGGAGCTGCCCTAGTATGCAGGTTGAGCTGACAGCCCTAGCCTGAGAGCATTCCACCATACCACACGAAAGCAAACTGAAGACAAGCAGATGGAAGCGGCCATCTATGTATCCTAAGGAGCTGTCACAGGGGTGGTACTGCCTGGCTGCATGGTACATACTCTCACTCAGTACCCAGCAACTTCCAGTGAGGCTGGGGACTGGATTGTGTTGGATCAACCTGACAAAAAGGGACTGCAGAGTCTGGATTGGGGCTTGTAGCCAAACAGCAGAGACCAAGGGGCCACAAGGACAAGAAGATGAGCTGTGGGTATCACTGATGGCCAAGGCCAGCACAGCTTCATCACCGCTCAGAGGGACCCACGCACCACTCACTACTGGACACTTCCAGCTCTGCACAAGGGTGGGTCAGCAGCAGGGTACCAGGTCACTGTCCTTCCAAATGGAACTATTCAATTCAGGTATCCAAGGCATCAGCCCAGGATGCCAACTTCTGTCCCTGGGCACTTACAAAACTTAATACTGGCTGTGGGCTCAGGTTGGCAGGCTTGAGAATGACCAGATAGCCATCTCCCAGTAGAGGCAATGGAGCCACTGAAAGGAGGTCAACAAGGCCCCATTCCTGGCAGCCAGAGCCACAGGAGAAGAGGCACTGCCTTCTCTCCAGGCACACTGCTCCCCTACTGTGGGCCCAGGGTGTGCTGGTGCCAGCATGAAGGAGCGCTGTCCAGGGGGCTGGCACTGTGCAGGATGAGCAGATGGGAGAGAGCGAACAACTTTGCTGAAATCTGCTGCTAGATGACAGCTTTGAGGAAGAAAGGGGAAAAATGGCTGTAATCTTCTGCTAAAATTTGCTGCCTTGTTTGATTCACAGCTGAGAAAACTGTTGAGACACTGACGAGAATCTCAAAAGAAAAAGTTTGGGACCTTCCTTTGATGCAGTGGTGCAATTATTGACTAAACAAAAACATTTCACTTGCCGAGTGAGCGAGCGAGCTGACATTTTCTGCTAATGACGGCAGCTAAATAAGAACAGGCAACCAGTGGACAAGGGGGGGGGGGTGGAAAAGATAGGGCAGGGGCCACAATTTGACCACTGGCAAGTCTACCCTCTGTTCTGCTTCTTCTGGACCACACCTGTGGACAGTTATCACTGAGAGGGATCCCCATAGGGGGCCCAGCAAGCACAGACCATGTGTCCCAGGACACATGAAGCCATGTTCCTTCTCCAAAACAAGGTGCCTAGGACAGCCCAGAGGTGTGCCAGTCCTGAGACTTGAACTTGGGGCCTGGATGCTGTTCCTGAGCTTCTTTTGCTCAAGGCTAGCTCAAGGCTAGTGCTCTACCACTTGAGCCACAGCACCACTTCTGGTTTATTTATTTATTTTTGGTGCTTAATTGGAGATAAGAGTTTCATGGAGATCCTGCTCAGGCTGGCTTTAAACTA